GGGGGGGGGGGGTGCAGCAGGTGATCTCGGGGCGCCCCGCTCACTCTTCTCTGCTTCCAGACGCCCTCTGTCACGGCGAGGAGGGGGATTTCACCAGCCCTGGTCTGGCGGTGGACCAGCAGCCGCAGGTAACGGGGTGGGCACGGCAGGCTGGGGGGCCCCCACTGCCACTGCTCAGGCGTTGCACCCCCGTGTCCTTGGGGGGCTCCCAAGCTGGAGCCCAGCACCTGGCCAAAACATGGGATGGGGGAGGCTGGGTCCCCCCCATCCACAGCGGTAAGACACCCCCCCACGCCGCTTCCCTTTGCAGCTGCAGCTCGAAACCCGAGATGTGGCCCCAGAAGTTGCTCCCCCAGGTAGGTGCTAGTCCCCCGTTTGCTTTTTTATTTTGGGAGGGGGCACTCTGGTAGGCTCAGCTGGGGCTGGTTTTGGGGTTGTGAGACCTCCCACCTGCTGTGCCCCCCCGCAGGCAGCACGGTCCCCCCCCAGTCCCCGACGCTGGAGGACCTGGAGATGCTGCAGTGGGTGCTGCAGCAGTGTGACATCTCCCCCCGTGACCTCGGTCCCTCGGACCCATCCTGGGCGCCTGCAGGTGAGACCGGCCATGCTCACAGGGTGCCGGGGGGGTGACCCCATGCAGGGGTGACCCCAGCCCCTTCCCACAGGTGATTTCTCTGCAGGGTACACCCACCACCAGGACACCTTGCTCCAGCCTCACCCAGAGCCCAGACTAAACAGCTGCCTCCCCCCATCGGCGTTCCAGCAATGGGTACCCGCAGCGGAGCAGCCACCCTTGGGTGCCTATGGTCCCCTGGACCCCATGCTGCTGGGGGAGCAAGGTGGGTGCTGTGGGGTGGGACCAGCCCTGGGTGCAGGAATGCTGTAATGGGGTGGGGAAGAGGCCGGGGAGCTGCCACCTGCCCCCCCTGCTCTGTGCCAAAGCACCCCCCACCCCACTGCACTCTGAATCGCGATGCTGACGCTGCCTGTCTGCTGCCGTAGGGGCCGTGGCAGGGCCGTGTCCCCCGCCGGAGGTCACAGCCCTCGTGGCGTCCCCAGGGGAGGCGATGCTCTTTACCCCTGCTGCCAGCCCGCCACCGCCGCCGGTGGAGGAGAACACAGGTGAGGGTTATTAATTATTAATAGCCATAGAATCACAGAATCATTCAGGCTGGAAAAGCCCCTTGGGATCATCGAGTCCAACCCTCAGCCTGACTCTACAAAGTTCTCCCCTACCCCACATCCCCCTGCAGCTCATCCAAATGGCCCTTAAACACACCCAGGGATGGGGACTCCCCCCCTTTCTGGGCAGCCTATTCCACTCTCTGACCACTCTTTCTGGGAACATTTTTTCCTCATGTCCAGCCTGACCCTCCCCTGTTGCAGTTTGAAGCCGTTCCCCCTTGTTCTGTCACTAATCCCCTGTGAGCAGAGCCCAGCCCCAGCCTCTCTGCAATGTCCTGTCAGGAGCTGCAGAGAGGGATGAGGTCTCCCCTTGGCCTTCTCCTCCTCATGCTGAACACTCCCAGCTCCTTCAAGGCTCCTCACAGGATTTATTCTCCAGGCCCTTCCCCAGCCTCGTTGCCCTCCTCTGCACTCGCTCCAGCTCCTCGAGATCTCTCTCATATTGAGGTGCCCAAACTGGACACAACCCTCCAGGTGTGGCCTCACCAGTGCAGAGCACAGAGGGACTGTCACCTCCCTGCTGGTCACACTATTGCTGACACAAGCCAGGATGCCGTTGGCTTTCTTGGCCACCCGGGCACACTGCTGGCTCATGGTCAGCTGCTTGTCAATGAGAACCCCCAGATCCTTCTCCCCCAGACAGCTCCAGCCACCCCTCCCCGAGCCTGTAGCCATGCAGGGGGTGGTTGTGGCCCAAGTGCAGGTCCTGGCGCTTGGCCTTGTTGAAGCTCATAGGTAAGACAGATAAGCATTAAGATAGCTTACATAGATGAACATTTTTATAATTATTAATACTAATAGCTATGATTATTAACACTCAAGGGGGTGTTTTGGGGAGCGTAAGCATTTGGGTTTGGGGGAATACGGCTGCTGATGATTGCCTGGTGCAGATGGCATCATCCCCGTCCTGGATGTCAGCATCTACTACCGGGGGAAGCTCTTCCACCAGGAGGAGGTGGGGGGCAGGCAGTGCCTGCTGGTGTACGAGCCCTCCGACCCAGCAGTGGCTGAGCGCCCCGGGCGCCTGGTGCGCTTCCCCAGCCCCGACGAGATGGCCGACAGGAAGCAGCGGCGCTTCACCGAGAAGCTGCTGGGGAGCGCGGGGCTGCAGCTGGAGCAACGTGCCCGCAAGCTCTTTGCCACCCGCCTGAAGAAGTGTAAAGTCTTCTGGGCCCTGTCCCAGCAGCTTGAGGCTGTTGGGGGGCCCCCACCCAACCTGCTCTTCCGGGATCAGGAGACTCCCATCTTTGACTTCAATGAATTTTGCACAGGTGGGCAGGAGTATCCTGGTTTGGGGGCTTGTGGGAGCCCGCTCCAGGGTGTCACAAACATCCAGACCCACCCACCTCCTCTGTGTCCCCTGGGTTTACCCCAAAACTGAGCCCTGTCTTATCTCATAGAGCTGAGGGACTTCCGCAATGGCCAAAGGCGGCGGTCTCCTGACTTCACCATCTACCTCTGCTTCGGGCAGTCCTTCGCCAAGGCCAAGCCCAAGGAGTCCAAGCTCATCCTGGTCAAGGTGCAGGGACCAGCATCCACCCCTGTCCCACTGCTGCCTGGGGAGGGGAAGACCCTTGGGGGCAAGGGAGGTGGGGGTCTGGGTGTCTGAGGAGGGGGACCCTTGGGGTCAGGGGGACCCAGGGGCCTGGATGTCCAGTGGAGGTGGGAGTCTTGGAGCACAAGGAGGGGGACCCTCGGTGTCCAGGGACATGGTGGGGGGCTGGGTGCCAAAGGAGGGGAGACCTTGGGGGCTGAGAGAGATGGGGTGCCTGAGGGGGACCCTTGGAGACCAGGGGAGATGGGGGGGCTGGGTGCCCAGGGAGGGGGACACTTGGGGAGCAGGAGAAATATGGAGGGGGACATAGGTACCTGGAGAGGGGACCCTTGGGTGCCAGGAGTCCAGGGAGGGCCCCCCCAGACAGGGGCCAGCTGCCTGGGTCAGGGGACCCTTGGGGGCTTGGGAGGGTGACAGCTGCCCAGGCATGGGGACCTTCAGGAGCTCTGGGAGATAGAGGGTGCCCTGCACTCTCCTTCCTCCTCTCCAGGAATATGGGGCCACGCAGGGTGTTACACCCACATCAGGCAGCTGCCCCTAACCCTGCCCCTTTGCTGCTGCAGCTGGTGCCCAAGTTCTGCGAGTACTGGTACGAGCAGGTGCTGCGGGAGGGAGCCTCCTCCCTTGACAGCGGCACCGTCAGCCTCCAGCTCTCCGACTCCTTCAGCCTCTTCGAGCTGATCGAGCAGTACAACATGCAGGTGGACTGACCCACATACACTCCATGCCCCCCCCAGGGACGGGCACCAGCCCTTAGGGGACCCCTGGGCGTCGGGGACCGTGAAAACCAGCATCACCCAGGGAAGGCTGCGGTGGGGTCCTTTCCCCACCCCAAGGACAGCTTCAGGGGCCTGGCCCAGAGCTGACACGTTGCTTTTCCCCCTCCCTCAGCTGCTAAAATGAGTGTTTTTGTGGAGTGATGTTATTTTCTTAAGTTTTCTAAGTATAAATATATATATATATATATATATATAAAAGGTGCTTTCTATCTTGCTGATGTTGCCTGGACATCTGCCCCCTCTAACAGTCTGAGACCTTCACCCCCTCCATCCCCCAAACCCACAGGGGTTCATGGCCAGCCTTAGCCCAGCAAAGCTCCAAGCCCCTTCCCCTTGGAGTTGTGCAAACGAGGTGACTGCCTGTGCTGGAAGGGATGCATTTATTTCTGTGTGTTAAGGGTGCAAACACGACTCTCAAGCAAAGCGTGTTGAGGACAGCTTGGCTTTGGTTAAACAGAATTCTTCCTTCGAGTTGTGGGCACCTCCCCACTGGTCCAGAGTTACTCACTTGAGATGTTCTGGAAAAATAAGGCAGTAACTACAACATGAAAGCACCCAGAGCAAAGGGTGGTGTCTCAGGGAGACGGGGTGTCCCCTCCCCAGGCTGGACACAGCTGCCCCTCCTCATATCAGGAGCAAGGGGAGAAGATGAGCCTGGGCCGTGGGCAAGGGGAGGGGGCAGCCTCCTTACCTGCCGATTGACATGGATGCTGCTGGGCCCAAAGGTGGTGGTCCCGTAGCTTGTCACATAATAGTGAGCTGAGGGCTGCGCCGGGGGCTCCTCCAGCTGCCTGGGCACTGTGGGGATGGGGGACACCATCAGCACCTCAGCTCCAAGAAACCCTCAACCCTCCTCCCTGCCCTGAGCACTGCTGTGGTGCAAACCCAGGAGTATCTGGCTCACCTTTGGGCAGGAGCAGCTCTGTGCCAAAGCGGTGCCCACACGTCCCACAGGTTTTAACATCTTCCTTCATCCTGTGGAGGAAAAAGCCCCACGAGGAAGGAGCAGGAGCTGCCCTCAGCACTTCCCATGGAAGATGATGCCAAGGTGATGGAGGAGGCTCCCTTCTTCCACCCTGACCCGAGGTCCTGCCTCCTGTGGGACAGCTGCTGCCTTCCCAGGTAGCACCTTCAGCTCCTCATGAAACAGGGGAGATGTGGGCACCAGCCCAGAGTAGCCATCATGTGCCTGAGTCCCCGAGTCCCAACTTTTTCACCTTTCCACGCTTGATTTTCCCACACAAATAAATGCTAATGGCACATGGGGCACAGGTTGCTGTGCTCAGGAGGACAATGTGAGAATGCCCGGTGAGTTTCAAAACTAAATTCACACAGCTTTTGGAAGCTGACCAGCCCCACCAGCATCGCAGTAGCAACCCCCCAGCCCTGGGCTTGGGGGGGGGCTCCTCACGTACGTACGTGGCGTTTGTGCCATCCATGTCTGGCCAGATGAGCTCCGCGGGACAGCCGGCCGTTCGGCAGGGTGTCTTCACGCACACGTGCAGCCCTGGCCACTTCTCATGGAGCTTCTGGACGATGGACACAACTGCTATGAGGAAGTCCCAGGCAAACTGGAAACCTTCCGTGCAAAAAAAATAATGTCGCTTACTCACAGCCACCCAGCTGTGACAGTCCGAGAGACACTGTGGTGATGTGACTCTGCTTCCAGCCCACAGCCAGAACAGTTGGACCAGCTCCAATTCCTCAAGTTAACCAAGGCCTTTCAGCCTCCAAAGGGCATTTAAAGATATGCTGGAAGAGCTCCCCAACTCAGGTGGACCTTTTGCTTATTCCTTGGAGACCCAGCCTGAGACCATACTCTACTGGGACCTTATGGGGAAGATGATCCATTTGCTTCAGGAAATTGAAAACTTGACTTTCCACTTTCATGTGACACCTTGAGAGGAATCCTGACCAGGTTGCATGGAGAACGAGGAAAACTTTAATCGAACTGCTGGTGGACCCCAGGCAGACTAAGTTTTGGGCCCCTCACCCCAAAAAGGCCATTGAATGACTCGAGCGTGGCCAGAGAAGGGCAACGGAGCTGGGGCAGGGTCTGGAGCACAGGTCTGATGAAATAAGGATGTGATCCTCACCTGTCCTTCCTACTGGCTTTCTGCACCGGAGCTCCAGGTAGCTGTAGGCCCTCTCGTTATTCTCTTTTATCAGCAGAGGTTTGCCGTTGCATATGAGCAGGCAGGTTGCCTTGGCCACCCAATGCGTGGAATAGAAGGAGCAAGCTTTCACCAGGAACCTGCAGGGAAAATGCCCATGGCTTTCACCACCCTCCAGCCTGCTTATCTCTAACACTGGGAGAAAGCATAGCATCAGGTGGCCTTGAAAAATATGAACACAGTTTTAGTAGAAACAGAGGCAGGCACCAAATGAGGACCCTGCCCTACTGAAAGCTCAAGCAGCAGGATCAGCCTCTTAAGCCAAGAGCTGCTTCCAGAGTTGGCCATCGGGTAAAACTCTGGCCACAAGTCAAGAACCCCACAAGGACAGGAGACCTTCCAGAAACTGGAACAGTCCCAGCACTCCTAGAAACTGGGCCATCCTCAGGTGGGACTGGGAGACCCCTGACTGCCTGGACGGGCACAGACTGGCCAAAAACTACCCTGGATGGAAGGTGAACCAGAAGGAGCATGGTCCTTGCTCACATCCAGGCAGTGAACATCAAAATGCTTCATCCACGGCTCCAGATGTCTGTGGCAGAGCTGAGAAGCCGCTCTGGTCTCCTGAGTCCCAGCCTCAAGCCTCAGCTGATATAGTCTTAACAGCCAAGGTTATACTGGTGCTGCACCGAGCAAACCCTGAACCACGCAACCTCACTGAGGGCTGGAAACCACTGCTTACCTCTGGAAGAAGCCCTCAGGTATTTCGGGTGAGAAATAGGCACGAATGTGGAGGTCCTCGGGGTGATCTCCTCCCCACACCTCGGACACTTCTTCGGTCTGGTTCAGATAGGTTGGGAACAAGTACCAGGACTCGCCTTGGCCCCGTGTGGTCTCCCACGGTTTCCCAGGCACGAACTCGCTGGCCTGTGGGTTGAGTGCTTTGGCATGCCTCACCTCCAGACAGAGCTCAAAGTGCTCCAGGAGACTGAAGAGCTTCCCTCTCCCTCTGTGGGGCCTGTGACTCATGATTTCCTCAAAGACGTCCCACATCCCTTCTAAACAGAGCTGGTGCTTCACCAAGGCACGCACAGCCTGGTGGCACAGCATTGCCTTTGACTTGAAGGTCCACACCCAGTTGGACCTGTCTCTGATGGTGGCACGTTCCCCGATCAGCGTGTCCAGAGAGATGCTCTCAAGCTGCTGGACTAGGCGGTACCTCACAAGGAGCTGGGCAGGAAGAGAAGAGGTGGCAGTGAGAGGATCCCAGCAAAGCTGTAGAGCTTGGGCCCTGCAGAGGCGATGGTCCTGATGCCCTCACTCACCTTGAACATAGTTATTAGGAAGGTAGGCTGGAGAAAAACAGTGCTTTCCAGGTGCTCGATTTCCTCATACCACACTATCAGCCCAATGCGGTGGAGGTACCGCAAGATGTCCTGGAGAAGTTCTCTGCCCAGGTTGGCCAGGTGCTCACACTTGGAGAGTTTGCTGAGCAGGTACTGGAGGTCCATCATGCCTAGAGGGAGATTCTGGAGCTCAGCACGTATCTCTGACACCAGCATTCAAAGGCAGGTGCTTCAGAGAGCCAACAAACACCAGCAGCACCCAACGTCACCCATCACCATCCCTGGGGAAGCAGCTGGGACCAGCAGGATGCCGGCTGGCTGTGGCCCATCCTCAGCTGTCCTGCTGCCACCCATGGTCTTGCCTTACCTGAACAGTGCCAACAGCCTGCCAAGGGCATCTGAAAAATGAGGCTAGTACTAGGTTTTTTCATTTGTTTGAGGTAGCAGGTTTGTTTCCAGCCAGAAAACCTTAGATTGTCAGTTAAACCTCAGATTGTCATTTAGTCACACAGCAAGACAGGTGACAAAAGAAAAGGATTTTCTCCCCATCCTCTAACCCCACAGTGGCCACGAAAAGCCAGAGATGACACCGGGCACTGGAGGTGTTCATACCTGCTTTAGGTACGTAAGTGAAGAGCCAGGGCCGCCTGCTAGTCCTGCTAGGTCATAGGAGACATGCGGACAGGGCTGGGAAGGGGTAGGGGCCATTAAACAGTGTTAGCAGGACGTAGGTTTGGAAACTACACGGAAGCATTAAAGGAAGCTCCTTCCTGCAAGATTTTTTTAATCGCTTATACAGGGAAAAGGGGAGAAAGAACCACCTTACTGGAAAGAAACAAACCTGCTGCCGTGGCCAGCTCAGGGTAGCTCCAGCCACAGGTTGGTAGCTGTTGGTGAAGACACACTCGACCTTTCCTGGTGTTTTTCCCCAGGCCCCCAGGCAGTAACACATCACGCGCCAGCAGTAACACTGCAAAGCCTTCAGCAGCGATCCACCATCATGTGAGTGGGGCCAAAAGGTGCAGCAAGCACCAGCGAGCCCGTCCCCGGCGCAGGGCAGCAGGGCCTCCCCAGAAGGTGTGGTGGGGCTGACAGAGCACTCACCGTGGCCTGCCATCTCCTCGCTCTGCGCAACAGCCACAATGGCAGCTTCCACCTGCCTGTAGACGGGTGGCAGCACTCGGACGACCTCAGGGAAAAGCTCCTCATTCTTCACATGCTCCAGAATAGTGGCCTCAAGCTTTTTGATATCACGGTGATCCGTGCAGTTGACAGCAACTAAGTTTAAGATCTGGAAGAGAGAAAGCGCATCCAGAGGAGCCTGTGAAGTAAAGGAGGTCACCAAGGGTGGGACACACCACTGGCTCAGCTTCAGAGGGCACTTCCCTCACACCTTGATCTGCAGCAGTTCCTGGGAAATCACCCAGGGATGGTAAATGCCCCCTCACGCTCCTCCCCAGGCACTTGCTACAAGCCACAGGAGGAGATGCCCGTCACCAAGCAGGGACAAGGATCCAGCAGGTCATGGCCTGGGGTTACAATGTCCACCCCAACCCTGGGGAGCAGCTGCAGTAGCAGCTTGATGCATTAGCACCAGGTAATCATCACCAGCAGCCCACGGGACTGCCAGAGACAACAGGGGCCACAGACAGCAAGGAACGACAATCATCTCAGCCCTACGGTTAATGTGCAGCTCTCCATCTCCTTCAGC